GAGCTGCTGGCCCCGGGCGAGCCGTCCCTCCTGTGCCGGCACCGTGGCCGTGCCTTTAAATTTTTAAAATCTATTTTTACAAGCCCGTCAACGCACTGAGTGGGCCCGAACCGTGTTGGGGGCTACTGGTGTGAAAAGTTTGGGGATTTTTAGGGGGTCCCCCCAAACGAAGGGATGTCTGCAGAACGTGAACTAATGCCTGAACGCGTGGCTGCAGTGTTACAGTGCGAGCGAGGCGGCTGCTGTGTTTCGTGTTGGACTGGCTGCAGAAACGGGAGCCGCTTATTTTTCTGCCTGAATCCCCCCGTGCCAAGTTGAATCTGAAGATGTCCCGAGTCCGAGCCCTCGGGAGGCTGGTGGCTGCGCACAAGTAGCCCCGACGCGCTCTCATCTAGCGAGAACAGTTATAATAATTGGGTGATTTCGGATTCAAAGCCTGTTATCTTCAGTCAGACCCTTTGAAATGTTTCCTAATGGCAACATTTTGCCAGCGATGGTCAGTCCACAGAGCCGCAGCTTCTTTGCGCTTCCCATGCAGTAGCTGGCAGCCGTCTCCCGAGCGTGATTTTCAGCAGAGTAGGTTGGCTTGCTTTCTGCTTACTAAGCTCATCCGAAAGCACCCTTCCCTCCTCTTCCCTTCTCTTTCGCTCAGTAGTGCATCATCATCTGTGTGCAGGAGTGTGTCGGGAAGCCCGGGGGAGCCGCGCTCCTCTCCCCGGGGAGGCAGGTGCGTGGTGGAGTTAGGGTTTCTCGGGGAAGTGACTCTCCCAGTCCCCTGGCTCTGCCTGTGCTGCTGGGACTGGAGGTGTCGGAGGCACAAGCCGCGTCGCTGAGCGATGCTCTGGCTAGCCCTGCTGACAATCCGGGAGCGTCAGAAATCCCTTGTCAGCAGCACTTGTTTGTGTATAAATCACCTGGCACTTGTTAGTCATAAATCACTGGCTTAAATGCTTTCAGTGACTTGGCTGGAGTTGGGGTCTGGGACCCTCCTTGCTGGGGAATGTGTACCCCACCCCAGGGAGCCTGGGCTGCTGTGACCCAACTAACCTGTCCCTGTGGCAAGAGCTGTATGATTGCCTGCTGCACAGTCTGAAGTTGGAGCAGAGCAGCTGAGTGTTTAGCTGGACTTCCTGCTGGATTCTGGCAGGTTGTGAGAAGGGCTCTTCTATTCAGTGGCATTGTAACTTTTATGTATGTATGTATTTATTTATTTATTTTAATTGGGTGTTGCCTCCATCCCTCCCTGCTGGTGGGACAGGTGCAGAGCCTGGAGGGTCACAGAGGTGGCAGCACACAGAGCACTGGACCTACTGCAGGCAAAGAGGAATGAAGGAGACTTTAGCTGTGAGCTACTGAGGCTGCTGTGGGCTGGGGTCTTGCTCCTCCTTCAGTCTTAGGGCTTGCTCAGTTTTTCGGTACCAAAACTCAGTGGTTTGGATGTTGCAACATCAGGTCTTTGCGTGGCTCCAGTGCTCGCTCGCCTTGATGAATTGCTGCTCTTTGTTTCCTCCCCTCGTCTGACAGTGCCCAGTATCCCAGCCTTCCTACAAACAATGCTCTCTATTGTAGTGAGGCAACTATTTTCTGGCCCATTTTATTTTTCCAGTTACAGTATGGATCCACTCCAACAGACAGGCACTTTAGCACAAGCGGTTTCTACTCTCACGCTGCTTTACTGTTCAGGTTTGCTGGTGCCTAAACATCTAGTTACTGGGTGCAAAATATTTTCCAAATGACAGAAGTCATGGTATGTGTTTTCCTGTTTTCTTTCTGCAGGCACACAATGGGGATCTTACAGTTAGACCCACATGCAAGCCTGGCTTTTCAGAAGAAGACTACACAGCATTTGTCTCCCCAAACATTATGGAAGGACAGAAGTTACTCAAAGGTAAGTGGAATAAAAAGCGTAATAGGTGCTTCAGTAACTGTATTCTCAGGAGGTGAAAGGAAGCTTAAAGATGCTGGATTTGATGGTGCAATTGTCTGCAGAATTGTTTGTAGGAGGATGAAACACGAAGTGGTTTACCTGAGCACAGTTTTGAATACAGATGAATGATTCCAAGTCCACGTGCTGGGTGCTTCAGGTGGATTGTTTGCCTGTAGTATGTGAGGTCATCACTTTGCTTTTAAGTCTCCCACTCCCACCCTGTCTGAAGGAACTCTACATTTGATATTTTAGAAAGTATTTTCATGTATGAAATTCAAAGATGCTTAAATTATCTCTGCTTTGAAATGCATGATAAAGCAGACGTTGTTGTTGGAAATGTGGTAAACAAGCCTACAGACATTCTGTTCACAAATGTGGCATTCATTTTCATTACTGCCCCACTGACAACACAAAAACACAGGCAAAAAGAAACTACCAATTAGCTTTATGGTAATTGCAGGATTATAACTACTTTTGTGTTTGTAAACTCCAAGATGTCTTCGTAATCCAAATAACAATAGATTATCCTGTATATTGATCTGTCTCCCTTTAAAGTTAGAAAGAATTAAACTTTATATTTGTGTGATGCAGGAAATAAGTGGTTTACTCAAAGAGAATTTTTGAAGATCAAAATCCCCCCTCCAAAACCCCTCTGAGTTAAATCACTCAGTGTTGGTGGATTTTACAGCAGTTGTAAAAACATAGTACATTGTGGAAGTTGGGGAGCAACATCAGGACTTGATGCTCTGCTCATGGGTTTATAAACCCTGTGCTACTTTTTTCTTGAGTACATTTACTCGCATACATGTGTCGCTGCTGGGATTTCTTGTCTTCCTCCAGAGCAAACATCTGCTCTGTTTTTTTGATTTTTCTCAAAAGAGAGGGAGAGTTGTCAGTATTTCGGGCTTTAGCAGGATCCAGGACTGGATACTTCTTCTCTGCATAAGCTGGCAATCAGTTTTGTTTCTGAGGCCAGTAGTCTTAGTTTTGCTGTTCAGGAATTCTCTTTACTAGCCTGGCATCGGTAGTAGACCTTGGAGAGTTTAGTTTGAAAGATAACCAAACAGGGATTTGACATAAACACAAGAATATAGCAACACATGGAAAGATCAAATATCAATTGTTTACATATTTAGTAGCAATTTTTCTCCCTCCTAGACACTATAAGGCTTTACAAGTCAGTCTGTAAACTAGTAAATTTCCTGCTTTTTACCTTCGTAAATTACTTGGTAAACAGTGTCCTCCAAATACTAGGAAATCGTGACAGTAATATACTTGCTCAGAGGAGTATTTTTCACAGTTTTGTGTTTGATGAATTCTGCTGCCTGTTTATGTAGGTGGACAATAGAGTTGGAGCAGCAGGTCTGTTTAGAGGAGTGAGCTGGCAGTGACTTTGAAGACAGCATAGTGGCTATCATTGTGTTTCACTTGCAGTTGATAATTTTTAAATATGAAATTATATTTAGACAGGATGTCCAGTTGATTTAAATTAAAATATTTTTCTATTTAATATAATCCTTTAGGGGCCAACTGTAGTTTTACATTACTCATGACAAACCTGCCTCTGATGTAGAGCTGAGCTGGCCCTCAGGTTATGATGTGTGCATGCACCACGTATAAGATTTATGTCTTGATAACATTGTCATGAGTTATGTGATTTGTAAGCACTTTGTCAACGGAAGGAGACAAAAAATAAGTGCAAATGCAGTGTTTGCTAATAAGTAAACTATCATCTTTACACCTTTTAATCTACAGTCAAATACATGCTGCTGTTTATCACAGGAAACAAATAGATCAAATTAATTTGTGCAATAAGGGGGGGAAAATCTGCTTGCATAAAATTCTTCTTCATGCTTGTGTTGTTCTTTATATATACAGTAGCATGCAAAATTGGTATTTTTCCAGTTTAGGTTTAATTTTACTTCCTAACACTTGATATGTCTGAAGCATAAAATGTTTATCTCTTTCTTCCATCTGGGTGAAGTATTGTACAATAGTTCAGACCAAAATTGGGTTCAGATGGCTTACATTATCATGTTTGATGGATTGACATATGTACTGTTTCACACCATCTTACCACGCAGAGCTTTGCTGCCAGCTGCCACCATCTTATTCATCAGCATTTGGTAATTCATCTTCAGGCCAAATGGGACTGTTTGAAAAAAATGGGTAGGAATTCACCTGTCAGTGCTTTCATGGAACTGGGGATTGGAAGTGGATGTGTAGTTCAGATGGCTCTAAGGGAATTCCAGTGGGCAAATGTAAAGGCCTTATGTTGCATAGTCCTCACCTCTCCCCTCAGGAAGGAGATGTGAGAGGTCCTGGGGCAGTTCATACTGCCTAAAGGGTTGTTCATCAGACATCAGGTAGCATGTAGATCTTAGCACAGTGGTGAACTCCAGCCAGCACTGGAAAGCTGAGATACTACATGGTTTGGGAATAAGCTGTCTGGCAATAAACCCAGCACTTCTCTCTGAAGCTTTATAATACTTAGCTCTCAAATGTATGCCATGTTATGAATGTGTCAAAATGAAAGAGTTGGTAGTGTTCTAGGTTTGAATCAAGTTAAACAGATAATGACTGCTTATAATTGACTTATTCCAATGGAAATAGCTTAGTCTTAATTTGACAACAAGAGCTTTTACAGAGTCATTGTTTTATTATAAGTATGTCATAAACTATTAACTACTACTTTGTGGTTTGTCTTATTTGCCTGAGTCAGCTCTCTAACATCCTCAAAACATACAGATTCTAGCAGGAGCTATTTGTTACACAGTAATTAACTTGTTTATGATAAATGGACGGGAGAAATGTCACGGCATTTTGTTTTATGTATAAAGGAAAAGCATTTGCATTCTAAAAAAAATCATGTTAATTAGACTTAAAATAGTTTTCCCCAGTAGTGCCACCAATACCATGTATTACCCATCACTGCCAACACTGTAGCCTGATGACGGGGTATTAGCTGAGTTGATTTGTGGATTCAGAGCCTTCCTTAGAAATGCTGCCCCTGCATCTCTTAAAAAAAATCTGTTATATTTTTTGGTTGTTGTTTTTCTTTGCAGGATAATAAACTTAGTCTTGATCACTGATGCATGATAATGTTTAAAATAGGATCGTGTACCATTTTTATTCTTTAGCCTAAGGAAAAATCTCAGAGCCTGCAGTGTGGCAGAGGACGATTACAGCACGGGTATCTTTTTCTCTTTGTTAATTATTAATGTTAACTAAAATGGTGAGAACATTGGTCCTGAGGGGTGGGGAGCAATGACATGCAGTACTGCACCTCTGTTATGAAGACAGGCTGAGGAGGTTGGGATTGTCCAGCCTGGAGAAGAGAAGGCTCTGGGGAGACCTTAGAGCACCTTCCAGTGCCTGAAGGGGCTCCAGGAAAGCTGAGGAGGGGCTTTTCACCAGAAGGCAATGATAGGACAAGAGGTAATGGTTTTAAACTGATGGGGAGATTTCAGTCAGACATCAAGAATAAATTCTTCACCATGAGGGTAGTAAGGCACTGGAGTAAGTTGCTGAGGGAGGTGATGGGTGGCCCCTCCCTGGAAGTGTTTAAGGCCAGGTTGGATGAGCCTTTGTGCAGCCTGGTCTAGCAGGAGGTGTCCCTGCTTATAGCAGGGAGATTAGAACCTGATAATCTTAAAGTCCCTTCCAGCCCAAACCCTTCTATGATTCTACTGCACTGAAGACTTGGGGGATCTAATCCTTGAGTGTATGGGTGGGAATGATGATGACTAGTGGGCTCTTAGGAAGAAGAGAAATAAGGAGTAGGATGCTGAAAGTGATATGGAGTATGATCTAAGGGGAGCTGATACTCTTGATATTGGATTTATGCCCCTATCCATTTTGGTAAGGTTTTTGAAGATTGTAATTATTTAAAAAAGGCATTTTAAAAAATTATCTAGTTTTATTGGCGTTCTGTGAGACCCTGGCAACTGGTAGTGGGTGGAAAGACATCATGGTGTTAAATTTATTATTTTTCCAGCCTAGTACCATCCCAGCTATAGCAGGTCAGCTCTCAGGAAAGCCTCTCTTCTGAACAGCAGAACTTATAGCTTTCCCTGCAATCAGGAGGCAACATAAGCTGTTGAGATGTTCAGCCACTTTTTTTGTTTTTCTGTGCACCTCTTCATCTGTGGTGATTCATGTTTCTGTTGACTGTCCTAAATAGTGCCTATACTGATGTAGCAGGAAAACTTCACTTGTGTAGGAGGTTACGTTTGAGCAGAAGTGTGTGGAAGCAGTTTATTTTCATACAGGAAGATGAATAAACTGTGCCAGCACGTTCTGCTTTAAGCAAGTGTATGAAACCAAAGGTAGCCAAGCTTCATGAAAATGTATAAAAATGTAATTGCTCCCATGCTACGATTTTTACTAGTGTAATTTTTTATTGAAAAGAAAAGAGAAAACTTTACTGAAATATACTTTTTTTTTTTTTTAAGAATTCAGTGTGGAGGTTATATCTTTGGATTTAGGATGTTCTTCATGGCCAAAGTCTTTGGGTGGGGAGTAATGACATGCAGTACTGCACCTCTGCTATGAAGACAGGCTGAGGGAGTTAGGGCTATTCTGCCTGGAGAAGAGAAGGCTCTGGGGTGACCTTACACCACCTTCCAGTGCCTGAAGGGGCTATGGGAAGGCTGGGGAGGGACTTTTTGCAAGGGCTTGTAGGAAGAGGATAAGAGGTAATGGATAAAACCTGGAAGAGGGGTCATTTAGTTTAGACACTAGGGGGAAATTCTCCAGTATGAGGGTGATGAGACACTGGAACAAGTTGCCCAGGGAACTTGTGGAAGCCCCATCCCTAGAGATGTTCAAGACCAGGTTGGATGAGGCCCTGAGCAACCTGATCTAGTGGGAAGTGTCCCTGCCCATGTGGGGGGGTTGGAACTAGATGATCTCTAAGGTCCCTTCCAACTCAAACCATTCTATGATTCTATGAAAATACT